GGACCCTGTGTCCCCAACCTCTGCCCAATCCCAGGACCCTGTGTCCCCCGTCTCTTCCCTGACCCTAGGACCCTGTGTCCCCAACCTCTGCCCAACGCCAGGACCCTGTGTCCCCGACCTCTGCCCAACGCCAGGACCCTGTGTCCCCAACTTCTGCTCAGACTCCGGGACTCTGTGTCCCCAACCTCTGCTCTGACCCCAGGACCCTGTGTCCCCAACCTCTGCCCAACACCAGGACCCTGTGTCCCCCATCTCTTCCCTGACCCCAGGACCCTGTGTCCCCGACTTCTGCCCTGACACCAGGACCCTGTGTCCCCAACTTCTGCTCAGACTCCGGGACTCTGTGTCCCCAACCTCTGCCCTGACCCCAGGACTCTGTGTCCCCGGCCTCTGCCCTGACCCCTGGGCATCTGGACCACACCGCTGCTGCCCTCCTCCACCTCCCTCAGCCCTCCCTGCCCCTCAGCCCAGCCCAGGATCCTGACCTTGGCCTCCGAGCCCCCTCCTAGCCCCTTCAGGGTGGAGGCTCCTGTGGGCCAGCCAGGCTCCAGGCTTGGATTTTTAAAGTCCTCGAGCCCAGCCTCCTCCCGGTCACCCGATGCCTCTCCCCCAGCCCTGCCCATGTGCTCCCATCACCCCTCAGTTGGAACCTTCTTTCTGGGACTGGACTGGCTGCCCAGAGCAATGGCTGGGATGGTGGCCAGCACGGATCCCCCACATGGCCAGGGCCCCTCTGTGCCTTGCCCCTGCCAGGGCGTGGGTCTGTGCCAGCCTCTGCCAGCTGATGCTGCTTGCCATGGATCACCCCGAGGGGCCACAGCCAGACACCCGGACTAACACTCCCAGCCCTGCCAGCTCCACGCCAGCCCACCTGGGGGCTGCCCACCTTTCTAAAGGTGAAAATCCCCCCTCCCACGGCCCCCAGCTCTTTCTGCCCGCCTGTAATTGTGGGAAGGGCAGCAGGACTTTGCCTTGCAGCTGTTGGGGAGTCCCTCACCCCAGGCTCCTTCCCGTTCTCAGCGGCCGGGCTCGGGGCACCGCCACCCACACTCCTGCTACGGCACATTTGGCGTCCATCCCATCCTTCCGCACAGCCAGGCTGCAAGAGGTGGGGCAGGGGGCTCTGGGAAGATGGGAGGGAGGGCAGGCGTGCTCCCCAGGAACCCTGGACCCTGAGGTGCTGCCCTGCAGCCCACCCTGCCAGCCCATGCCTGGGGAGTGCACCCAACATTCAGGGACCATCTGGGGCGCTGGCCCTGGGAGCCCCAGTGCATCAGGCGGAGGTGACAAAGCCGTGAGACCCCAGAGGAAAGCCCAACACGCAGCCCCCATGGGCATCCCGTGCTGGCCCCACCCAGCCCGCCCAGCCTAGCTCCCTGGAGGACAAGGGCCAAGCACGCCCAGGCAAACATGCCCCAGGGTGGCGCTGGGGGAGCCGGGAGGAGGCGTCGCCTACCAGGCTGGCCCAGACCCCCCATGGGACTCAGCCCTCCTCAACACTGCCACGCCCTGCAACCCAGAGCCAGGCTGTGATCCCACCCCGGCCTCTGGCACCCAATGAAGGTGCCAGGTACCCACAGCCCTCGAGCCCGAACCCTTTACCTGCGCTGCCGCTGCTGGGATCCACCTGCCCTCCCCGGCTCCTCTGCCAACGGCGGCCGCCTCCCGCCACGGCTGCCAGCGATCGTGGGGTTTTGTGGGTGGGTGTTTGGCGCGTGCAGCCATTGGCACACGTCGGTGGCATGCGTCCATCCTCACCGCACGCCGCCCGTACCTTCCTCCTCCTGGTGCCTCCGGAGTCCCCGGCGCTGGCTCGGAGGGGACTTGGCACGGATGGAGTCTGGCCAGTGCCTCGCGGCAGAGTATAGGCACGCTTCTTTTTTCTGTATCTTAAACACACACACATACTCTCGCGTGCACACACGCCAAGCCCCCGCCCCTGGCAACACGCATCCCTTCTGTCAGGAGCAGATCCAGCCAAGAATGCCCCAAGCAGGCGGGGGCAGAGAGAAGAGAAAGGGCTTCGCTGAGTGGGGGAACCTCAGCCTGAAGCCGTGTCCCTGCCGCCCCCATTGCCCCCCCTCTTATGTAAGCCACCAGGAAGAAGAGGAGAAAACGCAGACCCACGTCACGTCATACTGCCTTCTGATTGGGCTCACCTTCGCCAGCCAGGCCCCCTGGGGCACGCTGTGGCCCGGCCACCCTATCACCTGCCCAGCCTCCCTCCGCCCCTGCCCGTCTGCCTTGGTGACCGCACCCAGCCTCCTACGTTCCTTCTCCTAAAAGGCATTTATTTGAGTGCCAACCCTGGCCCCATGCCAATGCGGTGGTCGATGAGACAGCAAGGCCAGCCAAGAGTCTGGCGGGACAACCGGGGGGTTTGCCAGAGTCCTGACCTATGTCTGAGGGGTTAGGGTATCCCAATTGGACATGAAGGTCAAGGTCAGCCTCAGGCTGAGGACAGGGGGTGGGACAGAGCCTCAGCCAGGCGCCTGCTTCGTGCAGACCCCACCGTCTCCGCCACCTCCCTTGCTTGAACCCCAGGCTGGTTACGTGCATCCGTGCTGACCCTGAAGACACAGGTGACAACTTCTGGGCATCAGGGACAGGGGTTGGGGAGAGAGCCGGGAGCCAAGCATCCAGCCCCTCTTTCTGGGTGGGGTGACCGGCACCTCCAGGTGGAGCTGGCGTCTGAGCCCTGAGGAGGAGGCGGCTCCCTCCGAAAGGGGGGTGAAGAGGCCGGAGGAGCCCAGGGAGCAGCCGCCCTGCCCTGATGGCCAGCTCGTCACCTGAGAAGACAACCCAAGCCCGTCTCCCTGCGACTCACAGGCGCTGCAGTGGGAGGAGCAAGGCCGGGCGGGTGCTGGAGGGCGGAGTGAGGGCCCCTCGCCCCGCGGGGTCCTGGTGCGGAGACATTGCATCTGCGTCACCAGCCCCTCAGACCTGCTCTCCTGAAAGCGGCCACCCTGGCCGCTGGTCGCCTGGTGGCAGACGCCTCTTCCCGGCATTTTCAGGCACCGCGCTGCTCTTCTGAGTGTTGACTATCTTTATCCAACCCACTAAAGACAACCTTAGTGAGCTTCAGAACCCCTGGAGTGCCCCGAAATGGACAAGCAAGGAGCCTCAGCCCAGGATGCCAACACCCTCCAGGGCTGACCCCGAGACTCGGCCCTGAGATCCTCTCAATGCCTGGATACCGCACAGCCAGATTGTGTGGCTGGGCTCCTGGGGCCACCCCACCCCCAGCAGAGTCCCGTCCTCTTCCCCGGGCCCTGCTGCAGGAACACCAGCGAGGGAGTGAGCGGTGGCTCCTGCCTGTGGCTTCTGCCCTGCGGCTGCGGCCCTCCCCGCCCCTGCCAACAGCCCCCATCTCACAGGTCCCCACCCTCCCACCCTGGGCCTGCACCCTCCCATCCTCGAGGCCACCCAGGCAGCGCCTGCTCACAGGTTACATTTAGGCCACAGCCTCTGACCTCAGGCCCCTGGGTCTCCCTCTGCATCAGCACGGCCAGGCCCCGGGCTGGAGGAGGTCCTAGAAGGCACAGCCTAACCCCACGGGAGGTGAGGAGCCTGGGCTACTCAGCTGACCTTGGGGCCCCTGCTGCCTCCCTGGGCTCACTCTGCTCCACCACACAGACCCCCTCGCTGCCCCAGAATGTTCCGGGAGCTCCTCCGCTGGGGCCCCCGCTGTCCCCTCAGCCTGGACGCACCTCCTGAGGGTCCTGGAGGTGGCTCTGTGGCTCGCCATGGCCACCTATCAGGACCTGAGGTCTGGGGCCCACTGTGACCACTGCAGGTGGCATGTGATGTGAGGTGCAGGAGCCGGGAGAGGGGCCGGCACACTGTCCCCCTCTGCACCCTCCTCCCGTTCTCAGCTCGTCTAGAAGAGAAGGGAAGGCTCAGATGGGGGCACTCAGCGGGGATCAGCAGAGCTAACAAGCACCCTGGAGGCACAGAGCCTTCCTTTAACCCCCCAGTGATGCGGGGATCCCCTCCCTCCCTCCCTCCTTCCCTCCTCCCAGTGATGCAGGGATCCCCTCCCTCCCTCCCTCCTTCCCTCCTCCCAGGTGATGCAGGGATCCCCTCCCTCCCTCCCTCCCTCCCTCCTTCCCTCTGATGCAGGGATCCCCTCCCTCCCTCCCTCCTTCCCTCCTCCCAGGCCAGTCTGAGATGGTGGGGGCTGTGTTAGGACCTCCTGCCCCACCAGCCCTTCCTGCCCGGCTCCTTCACCAGGGCCTGGAGTCTCATGCCCGGGCTCAGTGGCCACTGGCAACCCAAGCTGCCACCAAGCCTCAGCTGCTTTCAGCTTCACACACAGCAGAGGTGCTCCCGCCACAGTGACCTGAACGGCGCAGACGCTGCTGTGAGAAACGCTGACGGACTGAAGCCGAAGCTTTCAGGGCAGCCAGCAGGAGGGCCCCCACTGCTGGGGGCGGGGAGGGACAGGAGCACCGGTTAGCCTTAACCCCAGTTGAACCCTGCCTGACTTGGGGGTAGGGAAAGGCTGTCATGTCCAGCGTCACCCCGTAGATGACCTGGACTGTCAAAGGTATGCGTCGATGGGGGGCGGCCTCTCCCTGCCCTGGCACCCAGGTCCCCAGGGGTGTCTGTCTCACAGGGTGGTTGGGCCCCAAGCCTGGGATGCAGGGTCAGAAGGAAGGCTGGATTCCTGCCACGGGCAGAGGGGTCGGGGCCCCAAGGGCAGGCACATAGGGCGTATCCCTTGACCCTCTGGAGACCTCCTCTTCCACAGCTTGTGGCCTCCCTGGCCCCTCCTGGCCCACGGGGCTTCGGAGCATTGGTCTAGCAGCCTCTGCCGGCCCTTCCAGCCTGAGATGAGGCTGCGTCCCTGAGCCCTGGCAAAGATGGCCAAATCTTGCCTCCAGCCTCAGCCTCCCTGGGCAGCCTGGCCTCCACAACAGGAAGACCAGTGGGAGAGTGGCCGAGGGGAGGCTGTTAGGGTGTTGGTGGGACAGTGGAGACAGGCCCCACCTTTGACTTTCTGCCTGTCAGTGGATGGATGAAGAAAATGTGGGACACACACGGTGGAGTACTATGCAGCCCTCAAAAAGGAGCAGCACCGTGGGCGAGCCTGGAGGATGTCATGCTAAGTAAAATCAGATGGGTGTAGAAAGACACACACCACCCATCTCACGTATTCGTGAAGTCTAGCTACGTCAACCCCTCTTAGAAGCTGGGAGTAGAGTGGTGGTTGCTGGGGGCTTGGGTTAAGGGTGGGGATTGAGAAGATAAAAGAAAAAAATAAAATTTATGAGGAAAGGCAAAGGACCTAGAATACTTAAAACAATCTTGACCGAGCATGGAGGCTCATGCCTGCCATCTCAGCACTTTGGGAAGCTGAGGCGGGCGGATCAGGAGGTCAGGAGTTCGAGACCAGCCTGGCCAACGTGGTAAAACCCCATCTTTACTAAAAAATACAAAAGTTAGCTGGGCGCAGTGATGCACACCTGTAATCCCAGCTACTCAGGAGGCTGAGGCAGGAGAATCACTTGAACACAGGGGGCGGAGGTTGCAGTGAGCCGAGATTGCGCCACTGCACTCCAACCTGGGCGACAGTGAGACTCAAAAAAAAAAAAACCCCTGAAGCAAGGGAGAAAAGAGTGGGGTCATCACTCTAGCTGGCGTGGATGTTAAAACCTTCTCCACAGTGACAATATTGAGAAAGTGGCATGTGGGCAGCCGGGTAGACTGCCAACCAACGGAACAGAACAGAAAACCCCCCGAAACTGATGCACACAAATATGCCCACCTGATTTTTGACACAGGTGTAAAAACGATTCAGTGGAAAAATAGCTTTTCAACAAATGGTGCTGGAAGAATCGGACCTCTAGAGGCAAAAAAAAAGGAACTTTGACCTAAATCTCATGACTTACACCAACATTAACTCAGAACGTATAGGCAAATGGCGCCGGGGCAAATCTGCTCGTTCCTCGCTCTGCTCTCACCAGCGCTGGATTTGCTCCCGTCATCTCAGGATGGCGGGTGTCCTGTTTCGCTGTGTTTGCTGTTTTCTAGCTCCCGGTGGCTGTGCCACATTTCACTCCACTTTTCACTAGTTGCTAGAGAGATATTTACCCTGTTTTAATTTTCTAGTGCTTGCCTTAGGGCATCTGTTAAGAACCATCTCCCCATGTGTGAGGACTTGGCCTGCCTCTGCCCCCCCACCCCCCCACTCCCCACCCCCCATCACCGCCGCCTCCCAGGGCTGCTCATTTTGTTGGCGTGTGAAGAAAGTGGATCTCACTGGGTATGCCGGTACATGCCTGCAGGAGGCCAAGGCAGGTGGATCGCTTGAGCCCAGGAGTTTGAGACCAGCCTGAGCAATATGGTGAGACCCCATGTCTACTAAAAATACAAAAAAATACCCAGGCATGGTGCTGCACGCCACCAGTCTCAGCTACTTGGGAGGCTGAGGTGTGAGAATCGCTGGAGCCTGGGAGGCCGAGGCTGCAGTGAGCCCAGATCACACCCCTGCACCCCAGCCCGGGAGACCGAGTGAGACCCTGTCTCAAAAAAAGAAAATGAAGGCTCAGCGGATTGACGTGCTTTGGGTTTGCGTGTGAAGCTTTCTTTTGGAATTGTCGGTGGGACTTGCGCCCTGTCCCCTGCCCACATCACAGTGATGACGGGGCTTTGGGATCTTAGCCTGTCGGTGTGCGGCCTCCTCCTGCTGCCTTCTGCGATGTCAGGAAAGGTTCAGCTGCTTTCATGGGCTTTTAGGACATCGGCACACATGCGTTCAAGGGATCCCAGGCTGGCTCTTGGGCACACGCAGGCCTGCAGGATGAAATCCGAGCCCCACGTCTGCCACATGCACCCCTGCGCTGTTGCTTAGTCCAGCATGGTGGCCCCGTGATGGGCCTTGGGGCCTTTCCTTCTTCCTGGGGTTCTCCCCTCCTCCTGCAAATCCCCTCCTCCATCAGAAACCGCCCCCGGGTGTGGACACAGCACCTTGCTGAGGGTGCCCCTGAGCTCCCACCTTCTCCCGGAGTGGGCGGGGAGCCCAGTGGACACTGGAAGCATCTGAACTGGTGTGTGGCACATCCCTGACTACCCTCCCGGCGCGTGGCACATCCCTGACTTCCCTCCCGGTTCGTGGCACGGCCCTGACTTCCCTCCCGGTTCGTGGCGCGGCCCTGACAACCCTTCCAGTGCGTGGCGCGGCCCTGACGACCCTCCCAGTGCGTGGCGCGGCCCTGATTTCCCAGAGTGTGTCCCTGACTTCCCGCTGGGGTCCGC